ATAGGATTTCAGTGAGAATTACATGAAATAATATATGCAAAGCTCTTAAAACAGTACCTGGCATAGAATGGGAAACGCAATACATGGACCTTTTGCTATAACTGATTCCTTCCTAATCATCGGCTCTTCTACCTTTTTCTCCTAAACGTGATTCTTTTACATCTTAAAGTATGAACTAGCTATTTTACTTACTATTCTGATTTTTCTCCCTTCTTTGTTCTTCATTCTCACTTTTTAAATGTATGCTCTGGATGCCTTTTTTTATATCCATTTAGTATATGTGTATAAAATGTAAGTGTAGGAGCGTATCTCCATGTGTGTTAACGGGGATCCAGGGATCTACGTATGAATGTCAATACACCATACTCACTGTCTCCAGCCTACCAACATTTGGGGAGAACTAAGGGGAGCATTTTCTCCACATACCCGCCTTACGACTGTCAGAAGCAAACACAAAACCCAGAAATTTTCTCTACTGAAATAAACATTGCCCACAGGGGCTACTTCCAGCAGAGTGGGCATGTCCTGGCTAGAGCAGATAAAAGACGAAATTGGTAGGTTTGGGCTGTGACGAGAGGTGCAGTTCCTGTGGCTGGAATGGGGCTGAGATGAAAAGGCTTGTGCCAAGTGGGCAGAGAGGCAGCTTGACACTGAACAAGAGAGAGAGCTGCCTGGATGTGGACATGGGCACAGGACCAAAGGGAAGAGTGAGAGGTAGGTGGGTGACAAAGTCACTGCTGCTTTCAGCTCGTGCAGCTAAGCACTAGTGAAATGCACACTGATTAGTCCTCATTTATTTTTAAACACGTTAGTGTAACGAGAGAAGCATTTGGCAAATTTTATTTCTATGTATATTTGTTCAGTTAATTGACTTTTCCCTCACAAGAGAAATACCAGGGTTTGGGGTTTTTTTNAGATCAGGTGAGTAGGGAGGGTGTTCCAATACAGTTATTTGTTTACTGGCTAAAAACTCCCTCACAGACAGTGCCATGTGAGCTGGTGCATTGTCATGATGTAAGAGCTATTACTTGTTAGTGAAAACTTCAGGTCGTCCAACTTTTCCACGCAGCCTTTTCAGCACTTCCAAATAGTAAACTTGGTTAACTGTTTGTCCAGTTGGTAAAAAGTCATAATGAATAATCCCCCTAATATCAAAAAAGTTAGCAACATCGTTGTAACAAGTTCACGAACTTAATTGTCAGAGCACATATACACACAAAAGTGAGCAATTACCGTATTTCCCCATGTATAGATGTATCCTTTTTCAAAAAATTCGGGGTTTAAAAACTGGGTGCATCTTATACGGTGGTTGTAGATTTTTTTTACTTGCATTTCCTGCAAGTGATGAGGAGTTGCATGAATTTTATGATAAATAAAACTTGAGTTCAATAACTTTATGTAATACATTTTTTTCAAATTTCGGGCCCCCAAATTAAGGTGCATCTTATACATGGGAGCGTCTTATACATGGGGAAATATGGTATTGTAGAAATGAAAAAGAACATTAAAGGCCATGGGGAATTCATTAAGATTCTACCTTCAGTCCTGTTACATTCAAAATCCATCCTTTCACCCACCCAGCCATCCAGCCACCTATCCAATGAGCAATTAGCACCCGGTGGGAAAGACAAACAAGTGAACCATGAATTGCAATATAGCGTGAAAACGAAGACCCTAAAACTCTATGGAAACACTGTGTAATCTCAATAAAGTTTTGTTAAAATCATGAATGAAGGGTGTACACATAACATGAAAACATGTTTTTATTAAAAAAAGATAAATTTAACTTTAATTAAGGCAAGATCCCACTTAAAATGTGCTCAATGTTTTATAAACAATGGCCCTAAATTTTGTCATTTTATCTTAATTTGTCATTTAGGAAATAACCTTTGGTCAGGTAGAATTTTATTCTTGAAAAACTGAAATTCAGTGATTGGCACTTCATGTGGCACTAACAAGAAAATTATGCTTCCCTTAAATAATGACTTTTCTTCCAGATATAAAGCCCCTTAGAGGTGTCACTAATGCATTCCAGATAATGGCTTGCCTCACATTGGTAAGGCAAACAACCACAGTTGCTGTTCTCATGGCTATTATAGCTCGTAGGTCCTCACCATTTCCAATCCCTCCTCAGAGGATGTCTTTCAAGATTCAAAGTGATCCTCTTAAAAAGCTTAACAAATATTGAAAGCTTTGTATGCAGCATACAATAAACATGCACACAGATTTATGTACAAAGGATGCTCATGGTGCCATAATTGATAATGAAACAGGGGATTTGGGGGATATGCCTCTCCCCCACTGAATTTCATGTGAAATATTAGTAGAAAGGTTATGGCAAATAATTTGTCTCTAATAAATATATTATTATGATATGATATGATATATGATATGATATATATCTAGAAAGATAAGCACTGTTCAAATATCAATGGACAAATTACAAAGCAAATTGCCTTCAACTAAAATTGCAATCCAATTTTATATATTGGATGCAAATGAAATTATTTCTAAATAAAAATAACTTCAAAGAGAAATGATGTGAATACCTAAAGTACTGAGCAGCGTCTTCAGATGCTATTTAGGAAGTGCCCCAATATAGCCAGCAGGGGGTGCTACAAACATTTTGAAATACTGTTTTTATGACTTCTATTAGAGAACTGAACTTAAAAAAAAAAAGGATTAAGAAGTACAAATTGCCAGTTATAAAAATAGTCACAGGGATGTAGAGTACAGCACAGGGAACATAGTCAATAGTATTGTAATAACTATGTGTGGTGTCAGATGGGCACTAGACTTTTGGGGGAATCACTTTGTAAGGTATATAAATGTCTAATCACTATGTTGTATACCTAAAACTAATATTGTATGTCAAATGTAATTAAAAAATAAAATTTAAAAAAAGGGAATAGCAATACAATTAACCAAAACCAAGAACTGTGGAGAGGGAGATGGCCAGTTCTTCATCTTTCATAAAAAGGAGTCAATATTGGGCCAGCCGAGTGGCGAACTGGTTGAGAGCTGGCTTGGGATGCCAGAGGGCCCCGGTTTGTATCCCACATATGAGGGCCAGTGACACTGTCCTCTACAGCTAAGATGCTGAACAACAGTTCAACTTGGAGCTGGGCTGCCGTGAGTTGCAGCGACGGCGTGGGCTGCAGCCCCTGCTGCAGTGGGTTGCCATGGGCTACCGTGTGTAGCCAGCAGCCAGCGTGAGCGGCCAGCAGCCGCCGTGAGCGGCCGTCCAGAAGCCGGCGACTGATCTGCCTCACCCGGGAAGAGCGCAATGATGGTGTCAACTTGGGCCAGTGAAGCAATGTCCTCCACAACTAGACTGAAGAACAAAAGGACAGCAACTTGTCTGTTCCCCTTCCCCCAATTCCCGAATAA